TTTAGAAACAAAACTATATATATCAAACGTACCAATATCCTCACATGACAAAAAGCATAACGCCGAAAAGTGTAGAGCATTAGTGTTGAATAAAAAGTAGAAGAAATAAAAACTTTAGTTTATAAGCAAGTCCTACAATTAGAAATAAAGGTGCTTACGCTGCGATATAAGAATTTAATATATGTTCATCTAATTCAATATGAGTTTGGAATCCCAACAAAATTAATTAGAAAAGGACTACAATTTGTTTTCGACATGAATGAGTGTAGTTGAACTCTTCCGGTGCATGGAAATCAAATTTGTGTCGTCAAAATCAATTCTTATTTCATTCATAGCTCTACTTCTTCCACTTCTATTACAACTCTTCATCCCAACGTATGCTCTTTTCGGTTGTGTCATTTCCTCGTGAGTTTACTTATAATTAATGTAAATAGTTAATTTTGTACAGTAATTATTGTTCGTGCGCTTTATACATCGAAAATATCTTAGCCGAATACATTTTTATATTATGAGATGAATATGTCAAAAGGCTTTCAATGTATGGATGTAAATTGCTTATTAATTGAGTCTCTTGCTTCGACTTCTCTCTGGGATCTTTCTGTTGTTGAGAACTTGTGAGTGATTGTAAGAAACTTAATGCAGTAAATATTTAAAAAGGAGTAGATCAGATGATGCCAACAATATAATTATTTCCAGCATGGACTTACGTGAATTATGAAGTTAGCACTTTTCAAAAGAAAATAAATTAAATTTTATTGTATTCAATTTCAAAGAATGTCCGGACAATTAAATAGATAGGTCTCACAAACTTTCTCGGTCAATATTCTCCCTTGATCAATTATATTCTACACGTGAATGATTAACCTAAAAAGATTATGATGCATCTCCTATAAATATTATTTCGCCTAAGAAAAAAATAGTAACCAATGATTACATAACTGCGAAACACGCAAAGAAAAAAATTCGTTCATTAACTTAGATGTCGATGTCTGTGCAATCATAGCGGATAAACTCTCAGTCAATTTTCTACGATCTGTTAGTTTGATTTATCGATCTTTTTGCTGGCATGCATCTAAAACCTTCACATAAAATTTAAGAGGAAGATAGGATGAAAAGTAAGTGCTGAATTTAATCTCACGGGCACACGATGAACAAAAAAGTCAATTAAAAAAAAAATAACATCAGAAGCCTAATTCAATAACTAAAGCTATAAATATGAAATAGAATATAGATTAGATGAAAAATTTCCTGCTGGATTGGCTGCATCAATGTTGGCATCCTTCCGTAGTTGAATATCAAAAACAATTATACAAAGCACGTATAAATTTTGTAAGCAAAAGGTTTTTATATATAGAGGGTTAAAGTGAGAACGTAATTAAATCCAATTACAAATTAGATATAGTAATCGTGTCTATTGATGTTAATCAAAATCCTAGTATGAGTGAAATTCTTAATTTTACACTTTTATCCAATATGAAATTATATTTTAAAAGAAAGACTTTAAAAATTTAAGGGCATAAAAGTCGGTTGATATTTCAGGGATATTTTTATCGTATAACATTTAGCGTAAATTATTCGTACTTTTATAATAACTAGTCTCTATGTACGTGCGTTGCACGTAAATCTCAGTCAATTATATATGTGACAGTACAAGAATTAAATTTATTATAAAATTATATACATGAAGAAAGAATCATTTTAAAGCAATTAACATGGATGCAATGGAATTATATAAATCTGTTGTCTATTTGTAAGCGGTGGTTAAAAGTATTTTCATTCATGTATAATTGGTATGGCGTTGTAACTTCAGCAATAGAAATGACACTTATTTTATATTATAATAATTCCAAATACATTAGGAAGAACTTCTAAATTTTATAATATTATCCAACAAAATAATTTATCTTTTTGGAAACATAAGATAATCGGCTCTTATTGAGTGCTGTAGATTAATTGTGAATTCTCATTTGCTTGTGCACGAGATGTTATGGTTCGTACTTGGAAATTGCTAGATGTATTGGAAAATGAAGTGTCACAGTGTCTCAATTCTAACCAAATATGCCAAAGCGAATTTTTTTTCTACTTATCCTCCGTGGATTGAATGTGACCACCGGAATTGCCGATCAGTCGGTCTCATACAATAGACTACGAATGCAGCATAATCTGTTTCTTGTTAGATCTGATTATATAAGAATAAGATACGAATCTTATAGATTTAAAAAAAAAATCAGTTTCGAAAATTTAAAAAAAAAATAAAATAAAAAAAGATGTGATTAAACCACAATTGAATAATAAAAGAAGAAACGACACAACATTAGAAAACTCCAATTGTGAAATTTTGCCGGCTCAATTGCTAGCCCAGATAAAACATGATGACAAGAGTATTAGTTCTTCAGGATATGGCTTTTGCATTGATGATTGTAGTACGATTTATGCTTTTGAAGGTCTAATTCTTTTCTGAAGGAAGAATTATTATTTATTGGACGGTAAACACTAACAGTAAAAGAGTATATATAATGCGACCTATAAATTATGACCCTAAACCAAAGCACCATAACTAAGAATAGGACAAAAATTGTTATTGCCGTCAAATTCAAGAATAGGACAAAAATTGTTATTGCCGTCAAATTCATATATGGCCCTAAACCAAAGCATTACTCAATTTCGAAAAAAAAAAAGAGAAAAAAGAGAAAAAGAACTAAAATAATATGCCTTTGGAAAACTTTGCTTCTTTCTACAACAATATCACAATTATATCCAATAGCCAAACCCCATAAACTAAAGATTTCAGCATTAAAAAATAAAGGAATAAAAAGAAAGCAAAACAAAACCATGTTAGAATTCATTAGCATATAAAGACGTTATGGGAGAGCGCCAAAAGAAAGAAAAAAAAGGCAAAGCTTTTGACATGCTTAATTATGGCCAATTAAAAACTGTAAATATAGTAGTAATAAGGCTGTAAACTACTTGTTACTTTGAAAGTTTAAACTTTTTGTTGGTTTGGAACTTACCCGGCGAGAGGCTTATGCGGCGTTACACTGTAAAATATCTGCATCTAAAAAGTTTATTATAATGAATAATGTGGGAATAATACCCATATAAACTGGAGAACTAAATATCAAACGTAGCCCAAGAATTATACCAACATCTTGTAGGGACGGTATATGTGTAGTTTAGATGGAAAAGAATTTTAGCCTTGGATAATTTACAACTACATCCTTAAATTATATATAAAAATACTTAAGAGCATAAAAGTCGATCAATATTTCTGGGATAGTTTAGTCGTTCTTTATATCGGTAGACATGAGGAATATTCTATAAACAACTATTATCTTTTTTCAGATCTAACTCCACATAACATAAAACTAAAAGATTTCAACATTAAGAAATAAGGGAACAAAAAAGAAAGCAAAACAAATCATGTTAGGAAAATTATCTTTGGTTTGCAAATAGAAAGAAAAGAAATGAAATAGAGAAGCTTTTGACATGCTTATAACCAACTACAAACTATAAATACATGATAATATGCATGAACGCCATGAAGTTATAATATAAAGTACCTGTCCGTTTGAAACTTACTCGGCTAGAGGTTCATGCGGCTATACACTTGCGAGAATATCTATGGCAAAGAAGACACGGCAAAACCTTTTTTATAATACTAAGGATGGTTCCGGGTATTTTTATTCAGGTGGGACTTGCATGGAAGTAGGATGCCTGATTGGTATAAGAATTGAACGCAAATTTGTATTACTGTGAGGTTTTTGACGTTAGAATTTTAGTTTATATTGGAAAAGAATTCCAGCCTTGGGTAATTTACAATAACATCCTTAAATTATACACATATTTAAGGGTATAAAAGTCCATCAATATTTTGGGGATATTTTAGTCATTCAACATTTAGCCTAAAATATTCGTACTTTTATAATAATATAGATAGATAGATATAGATAGATAGATAGATATAGATAGATATAGATAGATATAGATAGATAAGGCCTAGTTTAGAGTATGGGGTCGTTTAGAGTACGAGGTCAAGCTGATTAATTTTGCATGTAAATTCAAACATAAACTTTTAAGTTTTTTGAAATCAAATTTATATATTTAAAAAATATATAAACGTATAAGTCACAGTAATTAGCAATTAAAAATATTTAAAAAAAATACTTGCAAAAAGTATGATCAATTAATTAGCAATCCAAAATCTTTGATCTTGAAGTTGCTATATCACTATGACCTTGAGGGCTACAAATTTCTTTATTGTCATTCCTTATAAGCAATATGTCACCAAAATAAACTCTCCCTCCGTTTTATTTTACGTGAATGTGTTGGACTGGAATTTGGATTATAAATTTGAGTAATTAAAGAAGACTTTTGACATGTAAACCAAATATATGTAATGTATCTAAAGTTATCCTTTTACATATAAGTGGTGATGTGAGTTCTGAATATCTAAAGAACTGCACTTTAATTTGTATTAAGTCAGTCCCAATAAGTGTTAAGAAGCTCAGCCATGGCAGATGAAGATTCTAGAAGAAGGAGAAGAGGTGAAGAAGAAAGCTCTGTTATTTCACAACTGAGAAGAAGGGAAAATAATAGTTGTGTACAGTATAACTAACCGACTACACTATTTATACTAACACTAACTAACAGCTAAGATTACTTACAACTAATTACACTCAACTCTTAAATAGGTGGGTCCCACTATACTCAACACTCCCCCTCAAGCTGAGTGATGAAATACATCTTTCATTCCCATCTTGTTTAGTAGATACTCGTGCTGTGGCTTGCATAGGCTCTTAGTTAACAAGTGTGCCAACTGCTCAGTTGTTCTGACAAATTGTGTTTTAGTCAGGCCTTGAACCAGTTTCTCTCTCACAAAATAACAATCAATGTCAATGTGTTTGGTTCGTTAATGAAAGATAGGGTGAGCTGCAATTTGTATTGCAGCCTTACTGTCGCAATGCAACTGTATAGGCTGAACTATTTCAACTCCCAGCTCCCTAAAAAGTCATCATCCACACCACCTCTGCTACAGTAGATGCCATACTTCTAAATTCAGCTTCAGCAGAGCTCCTGGATATAGTTCCCTGTTTTTATTTATTTCCATGATATCAATGAATCACCAAATTTTACTACATAACCTGTTGCTAATCTCCTAGATTCTACAAAGGCCCCCCAATTAGAGTCACAGTATGCATAGATGGATTTTCTTGCTTTCGCAGACATAAACAACCCAAGTCCAGGGCCAGTTTTTATGTACCTCACTACTCTTTGAGCACCTTCCATGTGGGACACCTTGGGTGCATGCATATACTGACTTAGCACTTGAACCACAAAGGCAATATCTGGCCTTGTCATGGTTGACTACAACAACCTTCCAACCAGTCTCTGATAGCCTCCCTTGTCTTCAAGTTCTCTATAATCTGCAGATCCAGCTTCTATTATTTGCTTGTCATACTCAATGGATGTAAGCTTGTGATTGAACTCTAGAGGTGTTGCTGCTTGCTTTGCACCTGCTAGCCCTAGTTCAGAGACTAGTTCCAGAGCATACTTTCTTTGGCACATAACAATTCCTTCCTGGGATCTAGAGAACTCAATTCCTAGAAAGTATTTTAGTTCACCAAGATCTTTCATTTTGAACCTATCTTGCAAATCCTTCCTGACTTGTTGGATCAGACTTAGACTGCTCCCAGTAACTAAAAGATCATCTACATAGACCAGGATAACTACCAATTCAGAATCTATCTTCTGGGCAAACAAGGAGTAGTCATAGTGACTTTGTGCAAATCCCATATCTATAAGAGCTTCAGTCAGTTTTAGATTCCACTGTCTAGGAGTCTGTTTCAATCCATAGAGTGACTTATGCAATCTGCACATATGGTGACACTCCCCCTGGCTTGAAAAGCCATCAGGAACATGCATATATACCTCTTTAAGAAGATCTCCTTGAAGAAAGGCATTGTGAACATCCATTTGAAACACATACCATCCTGAAGCAGCAGCTAATGCAACCACAGCTCTCACAGTAACCATTTTTGCTACAAGAGAGAAAGTTTCTATGTAGTCCAAACCTTCTTGTTGACTGTAACCTTTGGCCACCAACGTGGCCTTATACCTCTCCACTTCACCACATGATTTGTATTTGACTTTATACACCCACTTACACCCTATAGGAACTTTCCCAGGAGGAAGAGGAACAATAGACCAAGTGTTGTTTTCTTCAAGAGCTGAGATTTTTGCTTTCATAGCTTCAACCCACTTGGGATCCCTACTGGCTTCTAAGAAGGATTTAGGTTCTACAATAGCTGAAAATGCAACAAAATAATACCTCTTAGCATAGGACAGCCTATCATAGGCTACATAATTTGAAATAGGATATGCTGACTTAGTTGATGGAACCACATAATCAGCTAGCCACACAGGTGGTTTGGTGGTCCTTGATGATTTTCTGAGTGCTAAGGAAGTAACAGAAGGTGCACCAGCAGATAGAGGTAGAGAGCTTGGTGAAGAAAGAATAAGCTGGCCAAGGTCTAAAGGAATGGAAGAAGGGGAAGAGGAAGAAGATTCAACTGCATCTGTAGAGTGTTGGCCAGGTGAGATTGTAGAAAGTTGGCTAGGAGAAGCTACAGGATACTCAACATCAGTAAGAACAGCTGCTGGCTGAGTAAGTTGTTCTACTAGCTCTAAGATAAGGAATAAGGAAGAAGCATCAGAAGCCCATATGCTTAAAAGGAAACACTTCTTCTTTGAACACTGTGTCCCTGCTAACAAAGAACCTTTTTGAACACAAATCATAGAGAATATATCCCTTCTGAGTCAAAGAATATCCCATGTGTACATCTGGAATTGCTCTGGGACAGAATTTATCTCTTTTCTTCATGGTAGTTGCATAACACAGACTGCCAAATACTTTCAGATGTTGTAATGAAGGAACTTTTTGAAATAGCTTTTCAAAGGGAGATTTGCCTTGTAGCAATACATTAGGCAAATGATTGCGAAGATAAGCTGCTGTAGATACACATTCTCCCCAAAACTTAAGAGGTAGGAAGGCTTGGAACCTGAGTGCTCTAGCCATGTCTAGAATTGACCTGTGTTTTCTCTCAACGACCCCATTTTGTTGAGGGGTATATGTGCAAGAGCTTTGATGTACTATACCTTGAGTCTTCAACAATAACTGCATTTGATCATTAAAGAATTCTGTGCCATTGTCTGTTCTAAGACATTTGAGTTTGTGATCAAACTGTGTTGAGACCATTGCTATAAAGCTTTTGATTACTTCAACTGTATCAGATTTAGAATGCAGTAGAAATAACCAGGTAAACCTGGAGTAATCATCTACTAAGGTCAGAAAGTACCTCTTGCCATCATGTGTAGGCACGCTATATGGCCCCCAGACATTAGTATGCACAATATCAAAAATATACTTGGAACAAGAAAAACTAGTAGGGAAAGGTAATCTTGATTGGTTAGCTATAGGACACACAATACAATGGTGTTCCTTAAGCTACATATTATGCAAAGCACCTACAAATCTCAAAACCTTTAAAGGAGCATGGCCTAATCTTTGATGCCACAGAGAGGATACATCACAAGTCTTATAACTTGCTAGATTACTATATTGATTGATGTCACCTGGAATGGTATGTACAATTGAGTTTGAATGAGTGCCTGGATAATGGAGTATAACTCTGTCTTCTGTGTTGAGAATGTATAGTCTGAACTCTTCTTTACCAATCCCCAACACCTTCCCACTTGAGAGTTCCTGAAAGATACAGAAATCAGGATAAAATGCTGCTAGACACTACAACTCCTTTGTGAGTTTGGACACTGAGAGGAGATTATATTTGAATTATGGGATGTGAAGGATATTCTGAATCTTCTTATTTTTGAAGAATGAACAAATACCAGTATGAGTAATAGACACCTGTTCTCTTGTTGGTAAATGAACTTTATTCCTAGCATTTTCTGGTATTTCATCATACTTCTCTAGTAAGTGCAGGCTATGAACCATATGATTTGTTGATCCTGTGTCTATAACCCAGTTACTATGTATTAGGCTTGTCATACATGCATGTATACAACATGTTGTTCCTACAGTGACGGCATTGGCAACAGGTTCAGCTTGCTTGTCCTTGTTCAACAAATGCAGAATTTGCTGGTACTGTTCCTGAGTAAAGAAGTGAGCTGGAGATGTTGTTGGTATCCGATGTCCTTGACCCTGGATATCTGAGGTTGAAACACCAGAGCTAGTCACACTGTTAGCTTGAGCATTTGATGTCCCTCCTTTCCTCTTGTTCTTGAAGCCATAAGGATAACCATGAAGCTTAAAACAATTCTCTCTAGTGTGATCCTTATATTTGCAGTAGTCACACCAAGCAACACCTTTACCAAATGAATTCCTAGGCCTATAGCCTCCACTGAAATTGGTGTTAACCTGTCCTCCACCATTATATGCACCTGTAAACCCTCCATTAGGATTATTGTTAGTCTGTCCTCCAGAATATCCCTTATTACTCATCATAGCAGCTTCATTACCTTCAGCAAATACACATTTTCCATTAATTCTCTGGCTTTCCACATTGACTATCATAGCATAAGCTTGATTCAGATTAGGCAAGGGTCGAGTCATGAGAACCTGATTCTTGGCATTCTCATAGGACTCATTTAACCCTGTGAGAAATTAATATAACTTCTGTATCTGATAGTGCTCTACATGTTTCCTCGATTCAGCACAACCACAAGTGGGTGGAGGAGTCAAAGTCTCATACTCGTCCCACAATTCTCTCAGTTTAGTGTAGTATACAGATACAGAGGATATGCCTTGAGTTAATGTGGCAATTTTCTTGTGCAAATAGCAAGCCCTAGATGCATTATCCTTATCATATATTTCCTTAAGGTCTTCCCACACTGTGTGGGCATCGGAAGCATAGATCACTAAACTAATTAGGCTTGGTGAAACTGTGTTCATTATCCAAGCAAGTACAATAACATTGCACCTATCCCACAATTCATGTAAACTAGCATCATACCTGCTTTTTCTACAGGTACCTAGAACAAATCCTAGCTTGTTTTTACCATGCAATACAATTTTCATAGATCTACTCCAAATAGAATAGTTTTCTAAACCTTGAAGCTGAATAGAAATTAGGACAAAACCTTGAGTATCAGACGGATGAATGTAGAGAGGATGGTTGTGATCGACAAGTTCTACAGAGGTTGACGCAGCAATAGGAGAGCCATCTACATCTTCATTGATCGACATTGTTACAGCAGCGAGTTCTTCACCAGAAAATCCAAAAATTACTTACTCTTAGACACAATTTGACCTTGATTCAACCAGAAAATCAAAATTCCCAAACCCTAGATTGAGCTGAGAGATTTCTGTATTGAAAATGGCTCGATCAAATGGATGAGCAGATGATTTGATAGATCTGAGGAATCTAAGTTTTCTCATGGCTGAGCTTAAGGAAATCGAGCACCGGGATCTGATACCACGTTAAGAAGTTCAGCCATGGCAGATGAAGATTCTAGAAGAAGGAGAAGAGATGAAGAAGAAAGCTCTGTTATTTCACAACTGAGAAGAAAGGAAAATGATAGTTGGGTACAGTATAACTAATCGACTACACTATTTATACTAACACTAACTAACAGCTAAGATTAGTTACAACTAATTACACTCAACTCTTAAATTGGTGGGTCCCACTATGCTCAACAATAAGGCATGTCATTAAAGTAAAACGGGATGTTAACATTAATTAAATAGTTTCAAAATGAGAAGGTATTGATATTCTTTTATGTTATATAGAAATTTTCTATTTTTTTTGTTAACAAACAAAAATACTAGCAACATTAATGTTTGTCACGACCCGTAATTCCCACCGTTGGGGCCGTGATGACGCCTAACATTTCACTTGCTAGGCAAGCCAATGTTAGATATCATTAAGCCAATTCTTAAACCTTTCAGTGATGAACAACAATTAAACCATAACAAATTAAAAAGAGCGCGGAAATCCATAACAAATCATAATATTTATACACAACTACCCAGAATCTGGAGTCACAATTCACGAACTTCTAAGATTTAACTACAAATAATTTATCTGAAAGAAATACAACTGTTTTCAATACAAATGAAACAGTAAAGAGAATGTATAGAAGGGGACGCCAGGGCATGTGGGCGCCAACAAGACTACCATGGGTCTCCGATCAGATGAAGCCAGCAGCTAAATTCAAGATCAACTCAGTCTAGTACCAAAATCTGCACAGAAAGTGCAAAGTGCAGTATCAGTACAACCAACCCCATGTACTGGTAAGTATCGAGCCTAACCTCGGCGAAGTAGTGACGAGGCTAAGACAAG